ACCCCTTGAATAATAGAAACTAATAACACTATCTATGATGACAAAACAATTTTCTCACTATTACCATTACTAGACTACTCTTTGGAGTTCTAGATCTGAGTGCCATTTCTGTATCGATGACTAAGATTTCTAGGTGTTTTGATGTTATGTTTAGAACCTTCATTAAGTAATTGGATTTCTCTCCGGAGAATCCTGGTGGGTTGGTAGGTTAACGAATCTATTGTAAAAATGATGATCTGAAAACTGTGTTGTGGGTTTATTTCATGGATTTATTGAAAGTATTTGATATATGTTTTTGATTTCTATTCTCCTCTTACGTTACTGTCCAAAATATCACATGCAATTAGATGTAATCTGTGAGTTAATTTTTATGTAATAACTTGAGTTAAATATGTTCCTTCTGCTATACTGGATTTTCTGTTCCTCCTGGAACAATTTCTTCTGGAACTTATGTTGTCAGTCCTGAGTTTTATGTACTTGGGTATGATATTCTTTTTAGAACACTCGTTGAGAAATCATATAGTTTGGTTTACTGTTTTACATCATAGAAGTAATTTGGAATATCAAAGTAGCAAATAGCTCATCGAAGCTAGTTTATAATCATAGTTACACCTGTTAGTCGATAACACAATTAACATCATCCATCATAAGCATATTTTCATACCTATAACTTCACTAGATATCTAGTAAAGATATTCTAAGTTGTTAGCAATACCTTTTTGACTGAAAAAATAATACTAAAGAAACATATGAATTCTTATTCATATTTATGAGATTTTTGTTTGCAGTGACATTGAAAAAATGTCTTCTAAATGAGAACATAACAAAGAAGACATTTTCAGTTCGAAGAACACTATTCATAAAAGTTAGACACACTGTTTTCCAGAAATGTTACGATTGTGAAAGATCTGAAAACATTATTTAAATCAAATAAATACATTTCAGGGTAAATATTTTACGGGTTTGAAAACCGTGGATTTTTGGCATTTATTTGTGACGTTTCGGTGTCGCGACTGGCTGCCTCCTTCAGAGGTTTATACGCGTGAGTGGCTAACTTTTTCAGAGGTTTTTACAATGATTCTGAAGTCGTTGGAGATATCAACTCAAGATGTATAAACCTCTGAAGAAGCTAGCCACTAGCGCTGACGAAAAGTCAGGAGGAAATTCCAAAACCCGAATAAAAATAGTGACACTGGAATCCACGGTCGCGAAAGCCTCAACCATTTGATTATATACATTTTATCAATTTTTGAATGAAAAAAGCTCAGTTTCGTGTCGTACAAAATCAATGAATCTAATAATTTTTTGTACGTTAGTCGAATGTGTTAAGCTCGGTAGATTGAGTTTTAATTTCAATTACGAAACTTCAATTATGAATGGGTCGACAGTAGTCTCATTACACCAAACTATTAAAACTTTTACGAAAAAAATCATTAAATCATTAAGAAATAACTCAGGTCCCATGAAATTATATGTATCGTTGCACGCAACTATGCACATGTCTATAGGTTACAAGAGACACTGTGAATAGGTATAATACTTATGAACTTCCTTCGCTGTAACCTTACGCTGATAGTCAGGGAAATATGCCATATTCTAGGTAAAAATATCAAAGCCCAAAATGAAAAGATCAAATTGACTTACAGATAATAATGGAAAATAATTCGGGAATTTGTATGGGATTCAACGGATACTTGACAAGAATCTACGATGAACGTGATTAAAGTGAACATCTACGAAGGTATTGGACGGAAGTCTTTTTGTTGTGGAGAAAAATCAGTTTTTAGTGACGTTCTTTGCACATTTTCACCTTCCACAATCTGAAAAGCAAAGAAAATTTCAATTCTCTTTTCTTCATTACACAATAAAAAATGAAACTGAATATAAACTGTACAGAAATTACTTAACTAATCTCCTACGGTTATCAAAAAATGAATATTATTCACATAAAATTGTGGAAGCAAAATATGACATGAAAAAAATCTGGAGCAATATAAATGAGATAACTAAGACCAAACCAGGAATAAAATTGAAACATTTTGATATTGTAGCTGAACTTGAAATTCCACCAGATACAGAGAAAGCCAACTATTTCAAACTATTTGAAATTGGGGAAGACATGGCTCGAAAAATCGAGAAACCCAAAATTACCATTGTTGAAAACCATGTAAACATGTGCAACTCATTATTTCTTCAACCTATAACAAATAAAGAACTAATCACCGTCATAGCTGGACTCAAAAATAGCACATATCCCGGACCTGATGGAATTTTTGTTCATATTATTGAAAAGTATCACACTTACTTTGCTATACCCCTCTGTCATATATCAAATTTAATCCTCGTAGTAGGAGAAATACCAGCCCCCTTCAAAGAATCAATTACAGTACCAATTTTTAAGTCTGGGGATAAAAAACTTGTAACTAATTATAGACCTATAACACTCATAAACAATTTTGCAAAAATTTTGGAAAAATGTATGGAAACAAGAGTGGTGCATTTCTTAGAAAATTATAATTTTTTTTCTCAATGTCAATTTGGTTTCAGAGAAAACGGGTCCACTGAAAAAGCCATCTTTGAAGTAGTTAATTAAGTCAACAATTATTTTCAAAATCAAGACAAAACTATCACTTTTTTTTTAGATTTAGCTAAGGCCTTTGACACGGTGGGTCACAATATACTCCTTCAGCGTTAACATGATTCGGGTATAAGAGGAGTAGCGTTAAACATCTTTGAGGATTATTTGTTTAGTAGAATTCAGAGAATTTAAATAAATGATTCAATACGTGAACCTCTATTAATGACCAGGGGCGTACCTCAAGGAACGGTGCTTGACCATATCTTATTTCTGATATACATAAATAATATTCAACGAAAGTCATTTTTTGTGGAGGAAAAAATCAGTTTTTTATCGACCTTTTTTTTGGGTAATGGTTACCTTATTCTAAGAGACGTAAGCTAAAAGAATCAGCGTATATTCTCATGTCTGGAGAGAATTGTATCTCGAATAGCTCCTTAGAAATAGATCGTACTTGGTTAGAAAAAACTGATAGAATAAAATACTTAGGGGTCCTAGTGGATCAGTGCCTTCGTTGGAATGATCATATTGACTAAACGGTGAAAAGATTACGTAAGCTCACTTACAAATTTTATCAACTCAGAAGTATAGTCAGTAGAAAAATGTTGCTTACTGTATATGATGCCCTGGCCGAGTCCATTTTACGGTATTGTCTAATAATATGGGGAGGAATATTCAAATCTTCCTTACGTAATTTAGAAATGATCCAAAACTCAGTCATAAAAATTATGTTCAGAAAGAATAAATGCTATAATACTCAAGCATTGTATGAAGAGAGTGGAATATATAGTATAAGAAAACTGTATACTTTCCGTTGTATATTATGGACAACCAGTATTACGAGTACATTTGTTCGGAATATATATAATACTCGTTTACACACTTCTCAGATTGCAAAGGTTCCACGATGCCGACTCACTCACAATCAAAAACTCTACACTTCTTTACCGCTGTCACTATAATGTATCAGCAGTTATACTAAATTGAAAATAGAATTGAAAACATTTATCGATCACAACTACCACAGATTGGAAACAATACTGGTTAGTTGACTAATTCTCCATACTGCAATCACCCAATACAATGTTACAAGCTGTTGTTTCTGTATCTTCTTTCGTATTTGATGCTCTTATTATGCTGAAAGATTGCTCATTATATTGGTCGTCCTTCTAGGACTTTCCAGAACTAATTAGTTGGTCTATCTTAGTTTGTAAATGTATTGGATTCGTGGCTGTAACACAAGCTTGGCTCAGATAGCCACGATCCTTCATAGATGTAATTTATAGTTCTGTAAAATAAGTTGTAATGGTTTATATTTCATATTAATCTGAATTGAATAAATTTTGATTTTATTTTGATGATTTCCTACCACGTAGTAACGGCTACATCTGTCAATTTACTGATAGTTCCTTCATGGTTTTTCTAATGTTGGTTTTCCATTTCAGATTATGATTTTTCATGATTCCAAAACGTTTGAGGTGTTTTTTGGGGTAAGAAATCAATAAAAATCACTATTCTCAGCACCATTCCTGTTACTCCTGTTCCACAGGCTCTATTTTTCTCGGGATTCAGATTTGCATACAATTTCTATCATTAGCAAATAGCAAAACATTGTTATGGAATTCACTCGAATGATTGCTGACGAATATATTGAAAAGCAAAGGTGCAATTACAGATCTTTGGGATACATCACTTGTTACTGTGTATGAATTCAAAAGTTGATCATTGATTATAATTTGGCGAAATTGATCAGTTACATCAGAATATCCCAATTTCTGTAGGAATTTCTCATGAGAGATTTTGTTCACTGTTTTTTAAAGTCAAGTTCATCAGATTTTGAAAGAATTATTATACCTGAAAAGTCCAAGAAACATATTTTTTGTTCTTCTTTGATGATCTTTCATGTACTTTCATTTGACAACCCGTTGTGATTCTTTGTTATGTATGAACTCAATTTCATTTTATTTCTGAATAAATATTTCTATACATGTTATATTAGAAAAGGAAACAAACATCATTATTATTAATGCTTTATCATTCATGTTCAACAATAATTTCTCATAACTTGAACCGATTTGAAAGATTTTTTAATTTGAAATTGTAGTGGTAATCACAAAATGTCGAATAATTAATTTTATACGTCAACCGATTTTGATGAGATTCGACATTTTTCTGCAGCAGCATTGAACATTTTGCTGTTGTATTCATCAACTTGTGTTTGAGTTGGCTTATAGTACTAATTTCTGNATTGAACATTTTGCTGTTGTATTCATCAACTTGTGTTTGAGTTGGCTTATAGTACTAATTTCTGACAAGAATAGAAATAGCTCCACATCAAGCCTATTTTAATTTAAAAGTGCCTGAACTATAAATTAATTTCCGTGCTGTAATTTTCTCAAACCTTGGTAGGGTAGCTGGGAAGGAACGTCTTTTGTTTTTACACATACTGGCCAATCTATAAATATACTAACCGCTGTTCTGAAGTTATCAGTTTCGTCAATCAAAAGAAAAACTACAAACCTAACAAAATGAAGTGTGTACCATATTTGGTAAGTGATGTGCTGTGTTTTCGAATTTCCGCAAGTGATTTTTCCACGGGAAATTGCGTGATGAAGTCGTTGTATTTGTTATTGGGTGACTTTCAGACGGAAAATTATGTCATCCAACAGCTCTATTTGCGTAGCCTTTGGATAATTTTATTGTTTTCGAATCTACTAATTGAGTATATTCTTCGATTCATTTCTAGTTGGTGGAAATATGATGTGGGGAAATGATTTCCATGCAATTACATTCTATATTCAATTCCATTTCCTGGCTCAGTTCGTTCAACATGAACAAAATAACATTAATTGAATTGCAATAGAGTTTTTTGAGACTTTTATCAATTTCAATTAACAAATTGTCATTTGAGTGCTTTGAATAAATTGCTACTGGATAGACAGTTTCACTCGTGTTGATTAGGACTAATTCGAGAAGGATTAAAGGCACTGAATATACTCCTACCTCTCTGTGGACTTTCTGAGTCATATAGGCAGGAAAAATTGCAATAATCAGAGGTTGATAAAAATTGAATGTAATTGGAACAAATGCCAGCTGCAAAATAGAGTTGAAGGAAATGGAGCTTGAATCAGTTTTCAGGGTTGTTTGACAGAGATCTGATAGGTCTCACTCCTTTCTTTGAAGTAGGAATAATCCCTTCTAATATCAAGAAATTGCTTCTAGAAAACTAATTATTTCCTCCGAGGTCTCAGCATTTGGGATCTTTATAGGTTGTAACGTAATAGCCCATGCCTTCACTTTTTTCCTGCTATAGGACTTGCAAAATTTAGTCTAAAAGTAATGTTATGGGTAATTTTTCTTTCTGCATTTATTAACTATACAGGGTGCCATATAAAACTCTGCGGGCAAATATCTGAAGAATGAGACAGAATATCCATATTTCGTGAAGGCAGATGATTTTGATGTCAAAGGGTCCTCTTATTAGCGAAGAGATCCAGCAATAGGCGTCATCCACTAGGGCGTCGCGACACGGACGCCCATTTTTTTGAATGGTAACCTAGATTTTCCGATTCGTTATTGGATTCTGCATTAAATTCTGAATTCAGCCATATAGCCAGTTGTAGTTTTCCTTGAATACTGATGAGAAAAGGTAATTTTATTGCATATTATAAAGAGGGAATGCAATAATACGAGTTAAATAAAATGAATACATCAGGTATGATTTTATTGTCTGTTCAATTTCATCTAGTTGCCTATTTCTGTACAAATTAAAATAAATGTTTCAAATTACCAAAGAATATGTTACTTTGACCATAACTCGACTAACATGATGAAAACGAAATCAATTAATGATAAAAAGAATCATTTTAGTAAGTGTTCGAACTGCCTCCCTTCACGTATAATACACATATTGCATCTTTTTAGTAATTCTTGATTCGTGACAGCTAAAAGCGTCTCTCGCGTTATGGAAGCACAAACATTTGTGATACAATTTTTCAAATCCTCTCCATTTTGTGGAGGTCGCATATCAACTAAGCCTTTGATATATGCCCACAAAAAAATCTAGTGAAGTAATATCAGGACTTCGAGCTGGCCATTGTATTGGACCCTTATTTCCAATCCATTTCTCATTAAAAGTATCATCCAAATATTGGGTAACCCCATCTTGTTGAAACCACATATTAAGTCGAGTTTGTACTGGTAAATTCTCCAAGAGATTCGGCAATACATGTTGTAGAAAAACCAAGTACCTCTCTCCATTGAGAATTCCTTTGAAAAAATGAGGTCCTATCAAATAACCATCAATGATTCCGCACCAAACATTAACCCCACACACAGATTGAAATCTCGTTTCTTGCACCTAATGAGGGTTCACGTCAGACCAATAGTTACAATTATGCTCGTTTATCATACCGTTGTTATGGAAACGGCTCTCAACAATAATATTTTTTTCAGAAACTAATCATCATCATGAATAGGGTGGGATAACCATGCAATGGTTGGAATATTATTTAGTTGTTAAAAAAGAAACATGAAGATTATTAACTAGATGTAGTACTTAAACCAAATGTATTTTGTATGTATTGAATTTGTTTTTTGACAAAATAAGTTGTACTGACGATTTCGAAATGTTACAATGCATTGCTACTTGTCTGGTAGAACTATATGGTTACAACAGCATTTGACCTAGCACTGCAACACTATGATTCTCATCAGTAGCCTTTTTTGGTTTTTTCGCTTCCGTTCATTGAAACATCCATTTCGTGCCAAAGATTTTGCTAAGCCAGCGAATGTTTTGTCTGACGGTAATTTTCTGTCAGGATACCGATTAGCGTATATTCTCACTGTTTCTTTTGAATTTTTTCTTGCTTCACCATAAATAAGTATCATATCCAAATTTTCTGCATTTGAAAATTGAACCATTTTTCAATTTTACGAAAAACCAACACAAAACTGAATACACTTTCGTCAATTCTGACAGATCGATAAATACATTATTGCATTTATTTTGACTTATTCATGGCCCTCTTTATAATACGCAATAAAATTGCCTTTTTTTTACCAGTATTCAAGGAAAACTACAAGTGTGCTAGATATGACTGAATTCAGAATTCAATGCAGAATTCAAAAACCAATTGAAAATACTGGGTTACCATTTGAAAAATTTGGCGTCGGTGTCGCGACGCCCTAACGGATGATAACTAGTGCTGGATCTCTACTTGAATAAGAGGACCCTTTGACATCAAAATTATCTGTTTTAACGAAATATGGATATTCTTTTTCATTTTTTAGATATTTGCCCGCGGAATTTTATATGGGACACCCTGTATATAAGATAGGACTATGCTGAACTGATTTCCGGGTTTTAATCCGTGTTATGATGTTTGACACCATTTTACCTATATAGTAGGGAGCGGATCGGGTAAGGTCGACCGACTTCCGAACACTTAACATAAATCGCCAGATGACGACATATATATATATATATATATATATATATATATATATATGTTATGGTGTTTTCTAATTACGGAACGAAACTTATCTTCGACTTCAAAGTAAATGAGCAAAATGTTCACCTTTTGATAAAATACATGAATGCAATCGATTTGTCATTAATTGTCTGATATGTTCAAAATAACCTGGATTATTCCTTATGATCACTTTAATGAAATGAATGAAAAAACATTCAAGTGATCATGAATTACCACCAAATAAACAAATAATTATTCACACATATATATTATTCCTTTGGTAGAGTCATCAACACATAAGTCATCAATCACACATATTATTCTTTTGCTACAGAAATTTCAGAAACAAGAGCTTTGAGGTCCTGAATGTCCAATCCAGCGATTAGCGTAGGCGTTGTCGAGATGCTGATATGCACGAACTTTGAAATGAGTTGTGCATGAACCACATGTTGCCTGTTACAAGTACCGGTACTCCTAACAAAATGTATAAATGATCTCGCAAAAAGTCCGTGTAGGATTCACCTGTTAATATTGCTGGTGCCAATCAGTCATCAATCATTCCTACTAAAAAATTGTTGCTGAAAATGTCCGAAAAATGATCATTGTGAAAATTCATAATACCACCTCGTGGAAAATTTGCTTCGTACGTAAATGAAATATTTGGTACAAAATGTTATTGTGTGCCATCGTATGAATCAACTATCTGCAAAACATTAATCTTGAGTGAAAATCCCGAGGAGGAAGAGCTTCGACCCGCTGTATGTGATATGGTTATTTGAAGGAACTTCTTCTATCGCATCAAGTATAGCTTCTTCTAGTTCAGGCGTTGTTACAGTTTCTGGTCTTTCACTACGTGCATTCTTAATAAAATTCTCAGTTTCACATAATCTAGCATGTAGCATTTTAACTGTTTCAGCACATGGAATTACCCTGTTGACATATTTGTCTTGGTAAATTCCTTGTTCTTCTTCCGCATTTTCTATCAATGTTAATTGACAACTCTGACTTTCACTGACCTGACAACACTATCCCTGACACCAGCATCAGCTGGTCTCCAAAGTGAAGTGACTTCAATTTTTTTTCTCGAAAACGAAGCTAGATATGAAGAAAACACAAGCTATGAAGAAAACACAAGCGACAAAAAATTGTATTTTCAGTTGAATAATCTAAAAAAATTAAAAACATAACAACGAGTTAGATTGAAGTCAGAGAATGATCTTCCTCTTGAAGACGATCACTTGGTGAGCGAAACATATGTCGGGGTGTTCACTAGTTATTTTAATTTTATATTACTGACATTTCATTTTTTATTTCCGAATGTATATGTTTAATGTTTAATGTATATGTAATAATGAAAGTAATGTGGAAGATACGATACTGAAATTGAAATTCATTTCACTAAATTTTACTGCTTTTTTTCTGCAAAACGTTGTATCCAATAGTATGTATATTACACCGCAAGTGCGGAAATGTGGGAGGCAGAAAAGATTTTCGGATGAGCTCAAATTTTTAATAAACTTCGGGAAGTTGCACGATATTAAAAATTTCAGCTAACCTAACCAACAATAACATTGAATCATTGTGAAATTTCCACCAATATTCAACCATCCAAAGGTAATTACGATCCGACCTCAGGAACACAAAAAAAAGAAAAACCATCTTCTGAATTCAAAATGGAAGCCCCACTCAATTTGTTTATCTTATTCTTTGAAAAATATTTTTGTGGGGAAGCCAATGTTTCTTGCTGTTTTTTGGGTATTTGAACTACCACGATCTGAAAAATATTCAAAGTTAAATCAATAGAGAATCTGCTGAAGTGTGATAAAGTTAACACTGAAAAGTTACCGAGTGACTACATGCGCCCTTCAAAAGAGCTTTCATTAGGAAAAAACATAAACCGTGGATAACCGGCAATATTAAAATTATGACGGGAGAACGCGATAAAAAACTTGAAAAATTCAAACGAACCAAGAACATCCGCGATTTTGAAGAATACAAACATCATAGAAATTTCACTAATAAATCAGTAGAGAGGAGAGTCTATTTGAATTTTCACATCAGCAGGCATACTAATAATGCATGGGAGACCTTAAAAAAACTCAACATATATTTTAAGAAAAAGAAAAATGATTTTCCAGACCATCTTCCAGATGTGAATGACATAAATAATTTTTTCCTGAACTCAATTTCCACTGCCGGTGCAGACTCGGACTTTGAACAGTACTATACAGTTGTTGACTTGCTGGTCCCGATGTAAGTTGGAGTTTTAGCAGTAACGAGAATAACGACATTTTCAAGTAATTACTGGCAGTAAAAATAACGGCTGAAGGTGCTGCCGGTCTAAACATAAGATTCATCATATTATGTTGTCCGTTCATAACTGAATATATCTCTCACCTCTTGATCTTCTGCATTGAATATTTAGTATATCCAACTCAGGGGAAATTGACTAATGTAATCCCATTACCGAAATGTGAGGTTGTCACTGAGTTCAAAGACCTGAGACCAATCAGCATTTTACCCGTTGTTTAAAAATTATCAGAAAGAAATATGAAAGATCAACTTGTGGAATTCTTAAAAATATATATTTTGCCGGATACACAATCTGGATTCAGAAAAGGGCACAGCTGCGCAACAGCCCTTTTGAATGGGATAAATCGTATCTTCCAGGCAACCGACTCGGGAATGATTACTGTTTTAGTTTTCTTAGACTATTCGAAAGCTTTCGATACCCTAAATCAGTCTGCTCTGAAACATATTCTACGATATATTGGACTCTCAGAAGAATGTTATGTTTTTTGATAGCTGTTTAAGCGGTCGAAAGCAACGAGTTGTACTCAATACTAGGGTTTCTCAAACAAGAGAATTGACATGTTCCACAGGGATCCATTTTGGGACCAATTCTCTATGTAATTTTCATAGCGTTTCTCAAAAATGTTGTTTCGCATTGTTATCTACAAATGTATGCGGATGATACTCAGTTGATGTATTCCTTCAGATATAGTGAATGGTTGTCAGAAAATTAACGAAGACCTTGATGGAATTTTCAAAATATCCAAAGATCATTCTCTCTCATTGAATGCAAACAAATCTAAGGCAATGCTGTTCTTCACCAAAAAATGTTTTGTGTTCCTATCAATAACATTCCTGTACAGTTTTGTGATGTGGTGAAGAATCTTGGGCTCTGGATAGATTACTCCTCACGATTCGAAAAGCATGTATCGGAATGCATTCGTAAAAGTATCTGGAAACTGAAAATGTTGTTTGGAGCTCGAGCAACTTTGAATTTGAATCTTAAAAAAATACTTTGCGAGTCTCTAGTTCTTTCTACCTTTACTTATTGCGATACGGTCTATAGCTCTTGTCTTGCGGCAACATCTACGTAAAAAATCCAGAAAATCAAAAACTATTGTCTCCGCTTCATCTATGGTATTTATAGGCGTCAACCTATCAGTCATAAGCTACGAGAAGCCGGGTGGCTCAATATGAAATCTCGCCGAAAACTTCACTCCTCCACCTTATATCATAAAATAATAATTACCGAGCAAGCGCAATGAGCCAAGAATGACAGCCTTCTGCATCTGTGCGGCTAAGATTTCTGCCTTAGTGCGGCAAGCCGGTATGATTTTAAGATTCGAGAGTAGAGAGGACATCATTCCACCAAGGACTCCAATAATCAGAAAAACCATCTTGATAGAGTGATTTGGATAGATTTGGATAGATTAGAGAAAATCTCGATATTTTATTCGTTTTTTCTCCTCTTTTCTGACGATATTCGTCTCGCCAGGAGCTGAAAACTCCACGACAAATATCGTTTTGCTCTGGTGGTCGAGAAGGACTACACATCAGGCTTATTAGCTTGTATGAGCCTGAGGGAGGGAAACGAATAGTTCCAATAAATTCGGCACTTCTCGTTTCCCACAACGGATTCAATATTCCCCGGAGTCTCGTCAATGCCGGTGTCTCGTCAATGCCGTAAGAGTGCCGTAGACAGTGATATAGCACTCTTAGGGCCGTGTTATGTCGGTGGATATAGGCCGAGACCGCATATGCTGGACATGCTGATAGCAAGTGCATTGGGGTCTCGGGCGCCTCGCGCCAGTCCCTGCATCTTGTGTCAGGAACCTCTATACCCATCATTATTATTATTATTATTTTTCACCGTGTTGTGCGCTGGTCAGGCCTTATCCCCCGAAGCCCCCGGGCTTCGGGATTATTATTATTATATAAACCACGTTTATCAAGAGAAATATATCTGTTTTCGCCGTGGTTTTTTTTTGAAGTGAACTGATTATATTTCATTTTTTCACATTATTCAATTCATTGGCAAAATTTATGGATACGAATAATTGGACTCTTCAATGGTTTGAAATTATGCAGTAATTTTTCGGGACGAACTTTTATTACACTTTACTAGATTGTTTACTGAACTCGATTTGTTTCTTTTTCGATTTGTTTATCTTATCCGTTCATCGCCTATGATTTCTTTATGTTGTGTTCATTATTCTATAGGTAAACATATTGGAAATAATTTACTTTTTGTTCTGGACATTAATGCACTCAAAACAAAACTGAGAAATCAATCTTCTTTCGAAATATAACTTTTTTACTGATTGTTCAGTCCTGAAATAATATTAGTTTGAGTTTTTTCATCGTTGAGAATGGGGAATGTTCCTCCTGACGAAAATCAAGTAGTTTTCATAAAAGAGCTCTGAAACAACGCATTTCAAACTTATCATTTCAACCTTTTTCTTTAAAAAATTATTTGAATACTTAAAAAAAGAGGAATGAAATGATGTATTCAATATTCAAAGGGATCGTTTCTATTTCACCATTTGGCAACATCGGTTATAGCTAATAAAGGACAATGAATCTGTTACCTGTATGAGACAAACAAAGATGACATATTTCAGAGGCGTGCTGTTCTGTTTACTCATGTTTCGAGTTCGGAGACATTCTCTGTGACCTATGAAATTTTGTGCACCTAACCTATCTTCCTCTATATAAATAAATAACAAAACAACTGTTGAAACCTTGAAATAATATTTGTTATTGAATGTCAATTTTATCTATTCAAATTTTAAGTGACGAAACCATTGAAAATGACAGCGGAAATGAAATAAGAATATGTGAGAACATCTATATACTTTCTTTCAGTTGTTTCTTGCATTCCTGTTCGTGGTCTTTGCTGAAGAAACTCCAGTAGAAACGGAAGAAGAAGCCGTAGCAGTAGAAACAGCTCCCCAAGATTTACCGAAGAAAACAAAAAGAGGCATATATGGATATGGGGGTTATGGATACGGGAGAGGCTACGGATATGGATATCCATTGTATGGTTACAAAAGTTACGGTCTCTATGGTGGTTACGGTGGTTATGGTGGTTACGGTGGTTTCTACGGAGGTTACTATCCCTATTATTCCCTGGGATATCATGGATTTGGTGGATATGGAGGATATGGGCATGGTTTATATGGTTGGTAGAATATATTCCAAATATATTCAATCTCAAATTATAATCACTTTATTATGTATATATTCAATAAAAAATTGCCAATAAAATGTCTGAAAGTGTTTAAATATATTTTTTGTGTTAGCAGTTGTGTTCATTTTCCTCCAGGGATGGAGACGGATGATAATTATTGGTTTATCAACACATAACTTCAATAGAAAATAGTCCAGACCTTATATTGTGACCACTCAGTAGGAAAATATTGTTCAGATCTTCATTTCATATTTCGACAACTTGAAGATAAACTAGGCATTTTTGCATGGAGCTCAAAAGATACACGAATTGAGTTAATGAAAGGTGCCTTTTATCGACTTTACCATCAAAAAAAAATAGTGATATACCATGGTACCTCTACGGTAGGTACCACGATATACCCCCGACTATGAATGAAGGTTCATCAAGTTAAGGATGAATATAACTTTGTTATTCATTCCTACATTATCTGTTTTCTATAAGCTGAGAATATTTAAGATACTTGAAATGATTCAGTAATTTCTGGTATTGAATACAGAAGGTTAAAAATACATTTTACCTATATATCGATACTAATGAACACCAAATGGAATATATTTTTTTTAACACATGTCTGAAAATTTTCACTTCAATATCTTTTACTAAAATTTCATGATTATTACTGCTGGAAAGTTCTTTCATAATTCAATTTCTCAAAGTGATTATATAATTTTGTTAATGATAGTTCGAGTAATAAAATATAATTAAAGTTGTTCGAATAAAGCAATTATGATTGATAATAATTCATTTCATGAAATATGGACAATTGTTCCGATTAATATAGATTTGTGAAATCTAGTCAATAGTCGCAATATTTGTCCTGATGGATTGTTCATTATTTGAATTGGGCTGGATTTTCAATTGATATCATTTCACAAATCGTATACAACTACTACTTTGATCCAAAAATGATTATGAATTGATAGATAAATGTAACATAAACTCATTTTTGAAATATTTTACAACTATGATATGAAGTTGGAACTGGAATCTTCAGAGAATTCAATGAACCCGACGTTTCATATAATACCATAGCATATGATTCTGGTTACTCTTTGGGTAGACATATAAAGAACAACAAGTCACACATAGACAAGGATAATAGATCAGATGTCTACATACTAACATGCGGATCATGCCCAAATTTATATGTAGAAAGGACTTCAAGAAATTTTAAAACGAGAATCTCCGAACATACGACATACTACATGAAGAGGGTGAGGGACAGAAGGTGAACCTAACGTTTGGGTTATCTGTTGAACGATCAATAGCAGGTTGACGACTCACCATTGTTGAACCTTTTTTCATAATTGCAATAATTTCATTCATATTCAAAAAATTTACCTGCTGTTTAAGAACTGAGATTGTAATTGTTTTACAAATTCTACCCCTTATCTCAAAATTTGCCTGTTGTCCAAGAACTGAGATTGTGATTGGTTTACATCTACCTAAAAACGGATATAAATTATACAGAAATAAGCTCACAAAGGAATTTAAAAAATGCAAACAAAACTATTATGAGCAACAACTAAAACTAAAAATCAAAAACATAGTACTTGTGGGACATGGTACCGAAATTCTGCTAAAGGAAACAAAAAAATTATTAATACTATCACAAATGAAAATGGGAAACTTCTACCAAACGATAGTAAATTTGTGAGTTTTTGGAAAAATTCTTGCTGACAAAATCGAAAGAGACCATAACTATGAAAGCACATCAAAAATCTTACCAAATACTATACTGCCAGTTCCTGAATGCTAATGAAATATATAATTTGAAAAATGAAATGAAAAACAATGAATCTCCTGGAATTGACCACTATCATACATAATCAATAAGAGTATTGAACAGGGAATATGGCCTGAAGCCTTCAAAATATCTGTTGTAGTGCCAGTTTTTAAAGATGGCGATACAACATCAATCAGTAATTATAGATCAATTTCTCTCATTCGCCACTTGGTAAAAATTATTCGAAAAACTTCTGAAAAACAGAATAACCTCATTCATAAATTAATTCAAATTATTGTCTGATAAACAATTTGGATTTAGGAAAAAAACCTCCACTGTAGATACCATACTCAATTTAACAAACAAAATTCATACATTTCTAGACAGAAGGAGCCTATGCCTATTTATTGATTTAAATAAGACTTTTGACACTGTGAGCCACACATCATTAATTGAAGCGTTGGAGAACATTGGTATCAGAGGGATGGTATTCAATTTATTCGCAAAAGCTATTTGAGTTAAAGGAAGCGAGTTGTTAGAGTGGGTGATGAGGTGAGTCAAAAATCAGACATTGATTATGGAGTACCACAAGGAACGGTCTTGTGACCAACACTGTTCAATCTTCACCTCACTGACTTATTCAGCATTAAAATAATTGAAGAGATAATAGTTTGTTTGACGGTGGTTGACAATGTTTCGTGGTGTATTTCATCAGTTCGGACTTCTATTGTCTAATCGGGGATATCAAATCAATTTATATTATGTTAGACAATGGAAGTCCGAACTGATGAAATAAGGAGATAATAGGTTTCGCAGACGACACTGCTGTTTTTTATGGAGTTGATACTTGGCCTAATCTAAAGAAAGAAGTAGAGAAAGTCATCAAGATTATGAAAGACTGGGTCGATCACAAACTCTCTACCAAGACTCTCAAAACGAATTAAATGTCGACCCTTCAGTTGTAATGCTGCTAGTATGACAAATATGCAAGAAATCAATATAAATATAAATGTTAAGATACAAGGTATCAGGTTAGTGGAAGAAATAAAATATTTCCACTTGAAATCCTACAAAAAAAGTTCCTAAAAGTAATTATGACAAAACCGCGTAGATATTCTACCGAAGATCTGTATAGCACGTCCCAGACTATGGATATTCGTCAGCTTCTCTATTCAAATACTTGTATAACATAATATCCCTTCAGTATTGATGAAGCATCTAATCCCAGTCATCAATACATGACCAGAGGACGCCAATTACTTACTCACAGAGGAGCTACTCCCATATTGGCACTATCACTGGAAGCATAAATTCTATTCTTCACAAAAAATAATTAAGTGGAAAATAGGCATATTTTGGGAGTTTTTTTACTGAGTGCGTATTCCAAAATTACAATTTGCAATTATCTTTTAACTACACGAAGATAATATCAATATAAGTGGCGTTACGTTGAATACTTTATGTGTGTATTTAAATTGTCAGAAAAGTATGATCGTGTTGAATGAGTTTTTGATAAGAATGAACAAAACAACTTTCGATACATTGGGATATATAATAAAACTTTCTGAAAAATTTCCATGGTTAGTCTCAATCATTCGTTGTAATAAGTAGTGAATATGTGGCTTCTGATTTTATCTGTTACCATTCTATTGATAAAACAGAGGTGAGATGAAACAAGATACTCGATGCCACTTTCTCATGAGTTATCATAAAATACTAACCTTTCATTTGTGATTTCCTGCTTATTATTATAATTATTTTCATAAAACAAAATGTAGGGTGTCTCCAGAGGCTCCAATAGATTCAATGCATCGCCAGAACACTTCGTGACACGACTATCGTCAAACTTGAACCAGTCCGTTTCGTCTTTGACCATGGCGTAATATTATTACGCGTAATAATATATATAGTTTGAGTTTGACGATAGTCGTATCACGAAGTGTTCTGACGATGTATTGAATCTATTGGAGTCTCTGAAGACACCCTACATTAAAATTTATAAGAGAGAGGACATCTTTTAAAGGACATCGAACTAAAAAAGTAAAAATACTTTTTTTAAATAAGCTTAAAACAATAACGATCGAAAAATACAAGTAATATCGTGAAAAAAGCCTGGGCGCTAGATAACCAGAAAATATGGCACAAAGCGCTCACGCTTTTGTCACAATAATACTAGTATTTTTCGATCGTTATTGTTTCAAGCTGATTTGAAAAAATATTTTAACTTTTTAGTTCTATGTTCTTTAAAATCGTGTTTTTTAGTTTTTTTAAACTATATTTATTTTTTACTTTTAAGTTTCATATGCTATAAAAGCGTGTTTTTTAAACTATATTTATTATTTTTATTTTCTTTCGAACAACCTTTCAAAGAGGTTAAGTACAGCGCCATCTGCCCGCGAGTAGATCAAGAACTATCAAGCAGGTTACGTACAGTGCCATCTGCCCGCGAATAGATCAAGAAATATCAAGTAGCGTCATCTGCCCGCGAATAGAATAAGCAATAATGCCGATAATTCTGTCAATACAGATCCCGAACTTGAGAGCTACAAACAAACATGCGTACAAACAAGCATACATACACACAGGTGAAGTTAATATAAAGCGTGTAAAAAAAAGTTTAAATTTGCCAAAAATATATTTCTTGTGTTTCAATTTGAATTTTATGAACGATATATATTTGAGTTCCAGAAGAGAAGAGTATTTGATGTGAAAAACGTTTGTAAAATTCAGTTTTGAACTTTAGTGGCATCAGTGTACCTCTGAATCTTACATTATATGAATATCAGAGTGAAATGTGATTTTACGATGTGAATAGGAGATTATTTTGGTAATTATAGTTTCGTGGAACAAACAAGCAACATGAAAAAGTTTTCTCTTCTTTATATTCAATCATCCAGTAGTAATTAGTTTATTTGAAATTCTTTCGCGTCTACAAACACCATTAATAAGTCTTTTCTTCTGATACATATACGTAAACGTAGTCGGCAAAAATAAAAATAGAAAATACTAACAATTAATACAGAAGTAGTTTCATATCCTTCTTTAAAAATGCCTGGATCAGTATAATGTTTTCAGGGATAGATAGATAGAAGATCTCCGAACAAGTTTATGTGTTTTTCGAATCTGGAATTTCAATCTTTCTATCTTTACACTAAGGTTTTTTGTGTGTTCTGCAAGAGCTGATTGGTCACTATTGATTGTAATTTTTCGAATCTGGAATTATAGTCTATCTTCACACCAAGGTTTTTTGTGTATTCTGCAAGAGCAGATTGTTCACTATCGATTGTAATTTTGATATCTTAAGAAAACGATATATTGTTTTCTGGATCGAATAATATTATATTACATCAACTAGAATTTATATGAATACGATGAATCCATTGTATGCAGTTTTCATTAATGAAATTACACGCCGTTACCACATATCCCGGATAAAAACTGTAATAAATCTGTGTATCGTCGGCATATCAGTGAGTAGTGCAAAGTTCCGGAGATTTCTGAATTGTTGGGGTATATAAAGGTAACAGAAGTGGTCCTAATATAGAGCCTTATGGGACACCGGATTTGAGGTTTACAGTTATTGAACTGACATTATCAATACACACCTTTTGTTTTCGTACAATATGCCTCAAATAATCAAGCTGCTACTACTGGAAAACCTAATAGTGCAGAATAGCCAAAATCAGTTGATAATTGATAGTGTCAAATGTACGGTTGAAGTCCAAAAGCACCAACATTGTACACATAACACGATACCCCGATCAGATTATGTCATCGACAATGTGAAGGAGAGCTGTGGTATAGCTATTTCCTTTTCGAAAGCATGATTGGATTTCGGGTAGTAAACAGTAATTATCGACATGAGCTTTGAGTTAAACTTCAATTGCTCTCTCCAAATTTTTTGAAAAAATTGGGAGTGCACTTATAGCACCGCAGATTTTTATATTCAGCTGGTTCAGAACTTTTAAGCAGTACCTGCACTACGACAATCTTCTAGCTATCAGAAAAAACACTATTCATTTGTCTCTCTATGTGATTTTTTTACCATTTTATCAGTTCAATATCATCAAGGGTAGAAGCAATTTGTCATAGAGGACTTAGAAAAAATAAAAATTTACCCTTGACATTTTGTGAACGAGTACATTGAAATTATTGCCAAAACAGCACCATACAAGGCGCTCCTTTTCTTAAAGAATATATATATGGATTTTAGAATGATGTCTCCCACAGTATTCCTTGAACATAGTAGACTATATTCGCAGAAATTAATGAACAAAAAGAAGTGACAAAAAAAATGCAAAATGAATGCTTTTTCCTCTTACTTTATAGTTCAGAATCGAAATGAGAACTATTAGGTTTGATAGTTTTATTCATCATCTCGAATACTTATTTAGAGCGTTTGGATTCTATTTGATTTCAGTTTCTCACATGCGCCACTCAATACCAAACCTTTTGGAGATGACTTTCTAGTTGGAGTTTCGACAGCAGCGCCTAGTGCAGAAGGTTTGTGCACATAATTTTTTATTGAATAACACACCAATATCAAGTGCTTTCCAGGTGCATGGGATCAAGATGGAAAATCTGAGGATATTTGGAATCGAGTAGTGAAAACAAATCCTGAATTTATAACTGATCGCTCTAGTAGTGACATTTCAGCCAATGGATACAATTTGGTGGAGCAAGATGTCGAAATATTGAACTTCCTAGGAGTAAGACATTCTAGAATATCGCTGTCATGGTCTAGGATATTACCTAATGGTGAGTTGTCGATGATTTTTTCAATCGACGTAAAAACCAATTCATGAGATAGCTCAGATTCGATCAGAACGAAATTGATATGAAATACTATCTTCTTCAGAGGTTTATGCATCCTGACTCATCTCCGATGACTGGATATTACGACTGCCTAAAGCGTATTTATGTTGACACAGGTAGGTTGGTGTGCTAATACCTGTACCTGGATTAGGTATATTGCATAAAACGTGTTCACGTTGACTCAAATGGTTTGGTGTGCAAATACCGTACCTGGATTAGGTCAATTGACAATATCATTTGTCTACCCTTTTCTGCCTGCGGTCTTGCTGTTTGCTGTCTTGAGCTTCTCAGAATAGGATTCCATATTTGATTCAGGTTGACAGCTTCTTCTTTTCTCCCGTACCTTCCGTACCAGTCGGCTATGGTATCCCTGGCTGAGGGCAATGGATTTCGTGTTTTTGAACAGAATCCTCTGGTTTCCTTCAGAGTGCATACTCCGCCACAGCCAACTTGTCCGTTTGCACGGTATGCGATATACCCATGCTGCTGATAATGGGTCTCTTTTGTCTTTAGCCGACCTGAGACTATGTTGTATCTTCTTGGTGAATTCGAAAACTGTTTGAATGTTGTGTTCTTCCAGAAGTTTTTCAATTCTGTCTCTGACCCTAGGGATATATGGTAGATAGGCACGTGTTAAAACGGTTCAAAATGGAGAGGAGGCATGTGCCTCATTTCTAAATTTCAGTCTTTTCATGATGATCATGTGCTCGAAGTACAGAGATAATTTCTGGTAGAATTGGATTTCGTGACTGTGTCCCTACGACGAAAGAATCCCGAAAACAATCACGAGGTTCTTAAAGTTATAGTACCTATACTTACTACTGATTTCAAGACAATCTACTTCACAGTTGTTCTGTAGGTTCATAATCAATTCATTCCGTTGAATATCTGAAAAAAATTTTGGTATATGATGGAATTGGCCGATACTTGATGAAAAAACACTTTATACACTCGCTACAAAAGCAAGCCATGAACCTGGTCCACCCAAATTCAAGATGCGATCACGTCAGTTATATGATATTGTCATATTTGGGTGATCCAACCAATAATATTTCCGGTTTATTGAAGGAAGAATGCGTAAACGTAGCTTACAGAACGAATAATAGTCTAAGTAAATTTATTAAAAATAATAAAGACAAAACTTCGGTGTCAGATAGATCAGGAGTATATAAGCTGACTTGTGGCTCTTGCCCGAAACTGTGTATTGACCAAACAGGGAGAACATTTTCCCACAGAATTAAAGAGCATAGAAGTAGTTTTGTAAATAGAAAGACCAATTTCACATTTGAAAACCACCTTTTAGCAGAAGGACATGAAATAAATCATGGATACGATCTATTACATTTAGATAAGAAAAGTTTCAAACTCAATCTTCCAGAATGTTTAGAAATCAATAGATTCAGGAATTCGGGTAATTCACTGAATGACGAATTAGTTAGTAACTCCCCGTTACTAAATATTTTTTCAAATTTGGAAACTGGGACATTAGTTCAGGTAATTTAATTCATTACAAACTTAGGAAAAAATCAGGTACTTGAAATGTGGGTACTTCAAATTGTAGAATAAGGTATATTTAGCATTGAATATGTAGAATTAGTTAGTAAAGATACGCCCAAAGTAGCCGTTGTATGGCGAAACACGTGTTGCGTTTTCGTAAAATTGTTAAGTGCAAATCTCACAATGAAGTGTTTTTGAATACGTTAAAAACTTTCGGATTGATATTTCTTTTCTACAATAAAACTGTTGGTTGATATGACCTCTGATTCGTTACCTCGATTTTATTTTGTATTTATATGTGTAGCAACTGAGGAGAATTTTGATTTCAAGGCTCGATTTTTTGTCAAGATTTTTAGCGTTCATGAAGGTATTACCTGAATTGCTCAATTTGACAATAAAAGAGAGTTAAAATAAAAGTTTTGATGTGTCACGTAGCATTGATAAAAGGATAAAAGCATATTTTCTTTATTTTTGTTTTTGAAGGAAAAATTTTAGTGAAGTCATAGACTATTATTTGGTTGCCATTATTGATGAACCAACATTTGAATGATACATTTACATTAAACTGAAATTTATATAATCAATCATATCCAGTACACTGAAAAAAAAAGTATTCAGAATATTGTGCAATCATTTTGTTATGAAACAAATTAACAATTTGTTTTCAATTTTCAGGTGTTTCAGATTATATAAACATGAAGGCAATTGATCATTACAAAAAATTATTTGAATTGTACAGAGAAAATCAGATAGAACCGTTTGTCACATTGTACTACTGGGATCTACCCCAATCACTTCAAGACCTAGGAGGTTTCCGTAACGAATCTTTCGTCCAATGGTTCAAAGATTATGCTAAAGTATGTTTCGAACATTTTGGCCAGCAAGTGAAGTTTTGGTCCACGTTCAACGACCCGCTACAGATTTGCGTAGGGGGATACGGCTATGGATACTTAGCACCGGCGTTGAAAGATCCTGGTGTTGGAGAATACATATGTGGACACAACTTATTGAAAGCTCATGCAGCTGCTTACCATCTATATGAAAAATCATTCAGGGATGTTCAAGGAGGTAGGCAAATTATGATATTGTACGTATATACTGAGTTACGGATATGGTTTATATTACTGTTAGGAATAGTTTCACAAGTGTGTGGAGTAGATGCATTGTTTGGAACCTTTATAATAATAATAATAATTTATTTGCTCATACTATTCAGATATACAACAGAGTGATTACCAATAATAGCAAATAAAACTTGTTTTCTAAATTTCTCTTTGAAAAGCTCCGAGAATTAGTTGTGGGGGCTGGTTTAAAATCCATACCTTCAACTTTTTTCGAATAGGAAACGACTATTAAGTGTTTCTATTTCATTTGGGATTTTTCTGTAAATTATCGGGCATAGATATGAGAGGAATCTTTGGTTTTTTGTAGTTTCAACCTTTGGTATTCTGGTTGTTTGGTTTTTCAGTCGAGTATTGTATGGATGGTCTATTTGGGGCAGTTCATACTTGTGTTGGTTCTATTTGTTCATACTACTTTAGTTCATAGAGCATCTTCTTCTCGTTAAAATAATATTTGTGCTGAACTGGTCTGTCTTCATTTTAAGGTTGGGAGGATTTTATGTATTTTAATTGTGTCGCGATGGGAAAATGGTCAGAGATACATGTATGTATGATGATTTTATGTATTGCTTCATGGTGCAGCTTTGTTTTCAAAAATATATGGTCGATGCATATCTTTGAATTATTTTGTAATCTGATGTACTCGTTTATTGCTGGCATATAGCAGGACACACAAGGTCTTCCAAAATAGCATCATACACTGAAGTAAGTGTACGAGACCTTGGTTGTTTCTGTTTATTTGCTTCTGTTTATTATGGTAGTGTAGTAATAAATATTACTGGAGCTTTTTCCCAACACCAAACCGTTATTTTAACACTACGACACGTGTTCCGTTCACCAAGTGATCATCTTCAAGAGGAAGAGTAGGTTTTATGAAAGTGAAAGTCTGTAAGATAAAACCAGAGCCCAGAAACAAAGCATTTCTGTTTCATGACCAGATAGCATTCTTTTGACATAGGTCTCGACAATAATGCGTGGCTGAATAACGAATGCATAGCGGAACTCAACTGTCCATGGAAGAAGATATTTCTCTACTGGAAAGACGTCATTTATGGAAACGACAGATGATTTAATCCACGAATGATAGTGATGAACATGACTTTGAAAGGTAGATCGCTGCCGTGACAAGTTTCAATAACTTAATCGACATATTTGACTTCGGTCGAACTTATAAATGACGTCTTCGTGAAAAAAGACACAATCGCTTTTCCTTACGCAGTTTGGTCCGTTTGAGACAATCTTTCAAGGTATTTGCGGTTCAGTCACTGATCAGGTCTGTGGAGGATCGAAACATGCTTGGTTTTTGGGTTCTGGTTCTATCTAGTTACAGTGCAAGTTGAAGAGAAAGAGAAAAAAAGAATCTCGTTCAGCGGTCAATGCCAGAGCTCGGTTCTGCAACGAATTGCCACTGGAAGTCTCTCTCATTCTTAATATTTGTGAATTCATCATATAGAAGGTATCTAGGCAAGCGAAGATATCTTCTTTTTTTATATGATCATGAAAATTATTTTGATGACAGTGAGAACCACGGAAAGGATCAATTTATCCTCCATGGGAACTCATGTCAGACATTTTGCAAAAAATGCAACATTTATGCCTTTACGAATGGGTAGTATTTGACACTAATTTTTATTTCAACCACTCATTATTTTTCGCATTTGTTTACCGAAGACACAAGATTCGCTTTCCAAAAAGATTAATACAAATTTATTTCTGCTAGTCGGTTTTATGAATGAATTGAAAGCAAATGAATTTCAGACTAATTTAGTGTAAATCGGGGTTGTAATGATTTCTCCTTCATTTACCGCCTCCTGGTTAGAATTTACTTAAGTGAATACTGAATTGAGAACATTTTTTACATTCGTTTCTATCCTTCATGATCTTTCTTGGCTAATGTTTCTTAATTGTTTCTATAAATTTTCATTTCGTGTCAGTACTTATACGAGTATATTAATTGCTTTTGACTTTTTTAAATTTATAGTTTCTTTTTTTCAGCGTTGAATGGGAAAGTTTTCCTGACGGAAATCTGTAGCTTTTCTTATACATTATCTGTATCAGCCATTTTTGTGTCACTTCTACGTTTTTAATATAATTATTAGTTATCCCACCCCAAACAAGTATGCCATAGTTTATATGTGTTTGAGCTAGGCTTGCATAAAGTATGTTCATTTGTGTCGAGTCGAATAATTTTTGATACAGTTTGAATTTTGTTATCAGTTGTCTCAATTTTTTTGTTACGTATTCAGCGTAACATGATACATTTCTGTATCATGATGATACATTTCTGTCATTTATCGAAAAACTAATTAGAAATATCCATCACAAAATGCAAAGAATATTCCTGGTGTGATCACTTGGACCCCTTTTCCATGTAGAATATTTTGTCGATACTCTCGACTTACGGCACTCTTGATAAAGAAATGCTAACGATGTCCAATGAATTTCAGCTTCCCATTTACAGCGGAAGTGAGTACACCTCAAGTGACACTATTTGACAATATCAAGTTGGCATTTCAATTTGGGAATGAACTGATATTGTACATTATAGTACAACATGTGTACAAAGTCATTTATGACGTCGAGAATTTTTTACAAAACGAAAGCGACTTGCTAAAAACATTAGGGTTTCTATGAATCTTGGTCCATCACGATGAGCTGAATTTGAGATACACATGACATTACCCATATAACACAAAAATTTGAAGATATGCATTTTAATGCATCAACAGACATTACGTGGAAATAACTTAACATTGACTGACATTTCGAATCGGGAGTTGATTTGGTCTAATGGGCAACTCTCCAAATTACATGAAATATATCAAAATAATGTCCTCAATTCAATAAGAAGAACTAGTGGAAATTCTGAACTTTGTTTGCAGGACGAATTTCAATAAATCTTGGAAGTAATTGGTTTGAACCAAAGTCCGATTCCAAAGAAGATAGAGAGGCTAGCGAAAGACAAATGGAATTTGTTGTAAGTAATACATTTTATGATTTATAGAATGAACTTTGAAACTATTTCGAAACCTAGATAATGAGTGATCAAAATCAAAATTTTCTTGACCATCGAATAAAACGACTCAAATATTCAATCCAGTAGTAGAAGAAGTAACTAACTAGAAATATAAAAAATGTTCTATTGTTACTAAATTATTGTTCTGTATCATCATGAAATCATATCCATATATCCATATATCCATACAGAATGCAATTTAGTTGCGAAGCTAGTGAATTAAAAAGTTTCAGTTCATCCTCGTTCCTGAAGTTGACTTGCACGAAACGTATTTAAAAAAAAATCATATAATTAGCGAGTTTTAATTTCTAGATGGGTTGGTTCGCGCATCCGATATACTGGGGAAACTATCCTCCGAAAATGGTCCAGAGAATGAGAGAACGTTCTCCAGACGGTCCCTCAAGACTACCTGTTTTTACGAAAAAAGAAATTGATTTCGTTAAAGGCACTCACGACTATTTCTCTCTCAATTATCAAAATACGTTGTACGTGGAATCCGCTTTGACTTTGCCCTTTCTTCCACGATCATTTGAGAGTGACGCAGGTGTGAGAATTACTGATGTAGAAGGGGTAAGTATTCCAATTCCGAAACAAAAAGCGTGACTGATTTTTTTTTTGTTTCAAGTTGTCATCATGCACAAAGTTCCGCGTTTTGCTGACAATAAACGGTCATAACCGTGCTAGAAATCGCACGTTTGAAAGTAAGACTTGTCGTTAGCGTGAATGAGCGAAAAGAATCAATTGCTTAAAGTATGGCCAGTATCATTATTTTCACCGATCAATTAAAATCTCCTTCAGGATTTTGAATATTATAAAATATGACGATTTAATGATTTATAATATCTCTTACAATGACATAAAAACTTGGCAAGTTAACTTGGGTGTAACACTTAGTTACGAACAATAAATGATGCTTTAATAAAATTAGGGTATTTAGACATAGGTGATGTTATATAATTTGAAATTATATTCATGAACATTTGTTACATATTCAAACAATGAGAAAGAGATTTGTGTTTGAACTAATATTTGACGTTTCCACAAAATAAAGTGCGTTCCATATTCAATTAACATTTCTGGTTTAGCATAGAACATATTTTTAGGCTATAGATTGTTGTTTTGCGAAATTTTATTATTTTTCATTCTTTTACATTGTTATTAAATTTTTCTGTATTCATTTTCAGATTGTGACTCTTTCAAATTTATCCACAGGTACATATGCAGATAGTGTTGTTTCCTGGTAAGATATATTTGAGCCAGAATCCACCTGAGGTGTTGAAAAAAAATCCTATACATTGAGTTATAGGAATTTAAACTCAACAAAAAAATAGTCAAATTCATTACACATCCACATGCAACAATGTGAATGATTAATGAAGTATTAGTATATTCCCAAATCATAATTGACGGCTTATTAAAAAAATATATTTATTGACAGTTACCTCATTCATTGCGCTCAGTAAGAAACAAAATGACAGAATTGCGATTGAATACTAATCTTGAACTAACATAATCTTCCTCTGTGAATACAAGTACTGTAAAAACATGATTCAATAAAATTACAAAGAACACGAATGGATTATATATCATAGATGGTATTGCATGGCCATGCAAGATTAAATCCTTCCGAAAATCAAATAATCGATGAACCATTTGCATATGTATTGCATAAGGATCTCAAGAGGATAACAAATCGAACTTTTCGAAATCAGATGGGAAATATACTGATCTACTGATGTAAAGTTAAATTTGTTCCAGCAATTCTATTCATTAAGTATAACGTCATTACGAAAAAGTATGGAGAGAAATTTTATACATTGAAAAATCAGACGATTCATCAAAAGGTAGAAACTTGTTTTAGGCTAGCATGCAAGTAAGCTTGTTGACACTTCGGACACACCAAAACTCATTTGAATAAAAACCTATCGACTACAAGATGTATATCTTATGAAATATAACCCTATTTTATTCAGATGACGCTAGGTTTAGTTGTATGTTGGTTTGATTCGAGAATTCAAAATACCGACAGAAAACTAAAGCATCTTTCATGGAACTGGAGTGAATTTAGTTACACCAGCGGGGTTATTTTACTGAAAAGCTTGAGAAATGACTTCAGCAGTAGCCAGAACATAATAAATAATCCTATGTTGCAAGATCTACAAATCGCATGTAGTCCAAATAAGAGATTTTAGCAGGCCCTCCAATTTAGCAGAATAACCTCATTTCAGCAAAATCAATTGATAAGCACAAAGTAGGATAGAGTTCCTATTTAACTCTAGTCTAGCTGACTTAATAGTGATTCTTTTGCTTGGTGATCCAGAAATATTTTCGTAATATTATTTGTTAGTTGTGATAGTTTATGAGTTTCAATCACTTCTGTATATCATTGCCCTCTCAAAAACAAACCCTTTTTACTTTGATTTGAATGGTATATCGATTTATTAATTCTTACTGTACTCACATAATCTACTTTTTCAGCGTGTACTCAGTAATGTAAAAGACGCCATTGATTATCAACATGTGAGATGCTATGGTTATACTTACAAATCACCTCATGATAGTTGGGAATGGACCGAGGGTTATAGGTAAATTTTTTAATTATTTTGTAACACACCAGTGACTGTATTATTCTTGTGAGAGAGAAAATTTGAATCTTATGTACTTTGAAGGACAAGCTTCAGAAAGTAAACGCGACGACATCTCATACGAAGACGTCACGAATGTTAATGATAAATATGGCTACCAAAAGCGATCCATTGCAAATTTAGGCTTCGTCAACGATCGCTGAATGAGATTTGTCCTCTGCCGCATTCACTTCAAGGCAACTAATCGAAATCAGAACTCAAACACGGTACTTCGTGATAGCGCTATAACGATCCATCATTGGAGCATCCCTTGTTGAGATACAGCCCCTCAAAGGGGGTACATAAAATTTGTGTAACAATTTTTTTCAAGAGCACTAAAAAAGTTACAATATTGAAATCAACCTAAGGTTTGGACTACCAAAAAGACACTTAGCCAGAAATTTATTTGGTTTACCCCATGGTGGAAAACGCAACCCCTAAAATTTATTTCCAATGTAACTTTTTGTCTTATTATTTGTTTACTATTTAAAAATTCATTTTCGATAGCCTGTTTCATTTCAAACAAAAAATGTCTCTTGGGTTTTTTGCCCAAAATAAACCAGTTTGCAGCAAAAAAATATTTTACGAACAACTACAGAGAACATCGTCATAAATGCGAAAATACGAAACTAATCTATCTATCGCTATTAGCGATAGTGACAATTGAATTGGTATGACGCTGTCAGTTTGTGAATTTTCGAAATTGAATGAATACTAATTGTGTGTTGTTGTTCTGTTCTTAATTTGTTACTTTAATAATTCACAAATGAGGAAATTAACTGATATACATTACGTTTACGGTCTGTCGCAGGGGAACGAGTTAGAAGCTTCTAGAAGATATGCTGATATGTATCCTCAACGGCAGCATCCTTCACATAGAATATTCGCTCGACTTCATCAAGGATTACGAGAATATGGTTCATTCGACAAAAGAACGCAGGATTGTGGTCGCCATCGAGAAGTACGAACACCACAGCTTGAGGAAGCAGTACTTAATTTGATTGAAGAACAACCTACACCAGTACTAGAAAGATTGTTTTCCAGCTGAATGTTGATCATATTATGACGATATTTCGAATTTTAAAGGAACAACTCTTATACCCTTACGATGTGCAACAAGTAGAGGCACTGTTACCACGAGACTTTCCGAACCGTCTTGAATTTTGCAATTGGATGCTGGAAATGATTAGAAGAAATTGTGACTTTCTGAAGACGATAGAATTCACAGACGAATGTAGTTTTTCTCGGGACAAGATTATTGATTTTCATAATTACCACATATGGGCTGATGAAAACCCTCACGCTAATGTCAAAACTAACCATCAAGAACAGTTTTCTCTTAACGTGTGGCTTGGAGTTATTGGGGATGATTTAATTGGGGCTCATTTTCTACCTCCTCGATTAAATAGTGAGGCATACGTTCAATTACTAAGAGAAGTGCATCCAGTACTGCTGGAGGAAGTTCCTTTGGGCGTCAGAAGGGATATGTTTTTTAAGCATGGTGGGGCTCCCGCCCGTTTTAGTCAAGTAGGTAGCACATCAGCATTTAACTGAAACATATGCAAATTAGTGGATAGGTCTAGGAGGACCACATAACTAGCCCGCTCGATCCCCGGATCTCAATACTCTGATTTCTCTATTTGGGGTCATTTACAGCATTTGGTTTATCGTACTCCTGTTCGCGATGTAGAGGACTTAAGAAACCGCATCATCGATGCGTGCCGGGTAATCAGAGAGACTCTAGGAATATTTGAGAGAATACGTGGCTCAACGCGCCGACGTCTAGACGCATACGTAATGTCTGAAGGTAGAAATATTGAACATTTACTATGATTTCTACATGTTGTGTGTTTTGTTTATTTGTATCAACTCGCAGCAGCATTTGAAGGGGAAATATGTACGGTTCAATGATTACGATTATTTGAGAATGTAATTCAAATCTTGTTGGCTGTCTATAATATTCCGAAATCTGTGGAGGGTATCGATCATCTACGTTATACACAATACGTCAAGTCTAGAAAACTGAATACACTTGTGCAGTTATCAAATATGCCACCAACTAGTGCAGCAGCCCATCAATATTTCAATCGTGTTCATTATCAATTTTAAACTTGGTTAGGGCATGATTTGGAAACACACGAGTGAGGTTGGATAATACGTAACCATTTCCTGTAACCCATCACGACAATTTCAGCACCTCTTCTGGAGAAAGTGCTCAACACAATATTCTGCAACTGTTTAGTTCGCGATGTGGATGCAGGGAATCTGGTTTGTAGTGTTCTTTAGCATGTGGCCAGTGTAATGAGCAAGATTGTCTCAGTGCTTTACTATATTAGAGCGATGTCAATGAGACCAGAACCTTTGTCTTCGGAATTATTAAAGGTCTGGAGACAAAGTCATTGAAGACGATTAAGAAGAGGACTTTGAAATACTACAGGGGTCCGAAGACGGCGATAAAGAAGAAGAAGATGACTGAGAATGGTGTAGTTCTTGTGTTTTAATGAATACATCAATTGAGAATCATTATAAATTACATAACTGGGCGGGTGACTGTTGTTAAAATAAATTGATACTTAATGGAAAATTGAGCAAAATAATTATTGACTATAATGTAATAGTTGATAAGAAATGGAGATTATTGATAATCATGTATTTATCAATGATAAATAAACGTCACATGGCATGTTTTTGACCGGGACTACCGGTTGACCTTGAATGATGCTTTTCCAATTCAATGTATATAAATGTTTGAAACAAAAATTGTAGGGAATTTGGTCCTTTACAATATTGATCATGGATACAAATAGCAAAAAATCCTCAGGAAATGTGATAATTGCAAAAAATATGAAATAAATCGATCTTTGTGACTTTTGACCTTAAATTTTAATATATCGTACCATATGTAGGTTCTGAGACAACTTTTAGTATGTTTACAGGAGTTTATAGCTGGGTATCTGGAATTCCGAGGTGAACTCACTAAAATGACTGGACTGAATAAAACATTGGCAGAGGACAAATAATCTCGTTTGATGATCGATGTCGAAGTTTGCCAAGAGTCAAATTGTCAAAAATATTAATTTCCGAAAATATTCAATTTTTCAAATTCATAGCCTCAGTGCACCGCACTGTATGGGTCGATCTAATAAAAGTTCATTTACCTAAATGAAGTTATGATATTGGGCAATTAGCGATAATGCAATAATGCTGATTGGCGATATTAGACTTCGACCTAAAATCGGGAACAAGAATGTGTGGGCATTGATCATTCGGTTGCCACCTTCTAAAGATAACACATCCATCACCCCTGAAAATGTACCTTCGGTGAGTGTATTTTTTTTATTTGTATTATTGGTTTGTTGCAGTATATAATTTTGTTTAAGCGTAACATTGCTGAGGGTTATGTAGAGGCGACGACATCTCATACGAAGACGTCACGAATGTAAATGATAAACATGGCTACCAAAAGCGATCCATTGCAAATTTAGGCTTTGTCAACGATCGCTGAATGAAATTTGTCCTCTGCCGCATTCACTACAAGGCAACTAAGGCAATAATGAAATTCATTAAAATAAAGGTACAACATATCCTTCAACATTGTTACGCCTAATCAAAATTATATACTTCAACAAACCAATAATACAAATGAAAAAAATACACTTACCGAAGGTACATTTTCAGGGGTGATGGATGTGTTATCTCTAGAAGGTGGCAACCGGATGATCAATGCCCACACATTCTTGTTCCCGAGTTTAGGTTGCGGTACAAAAATGTTTCAATCAATAATGTCTCAAATTAATGTGTATTTCCACAATACAGTACGACAAAAACATTTTTTAAACTTTTTTACCTTCATATTCGACTTTTTTCTCTTCGACTAACTGTATTTCTTCAACCGAAACTATTTAAAATTTCAATTATTTTTCCAGTGTAAAAAATGGCCTGTTTGACGTAGACTTCGATAGTGAACAGAAAACGAGAACCCCAAGGAAATCAGCTTCCTTTTATCAATATTTTGCCAAATACGGTTGCATTGTTGAACCTTGTCCTTATTAAATATTTCGATATCAGGAACTTGAGGGTAGAATAAAAAAAAGAGAAAATATATATATATCCGTTGTTTCATTGCTAATCTCTCACCAAGAAATCAAATAGAAAGGACTTTTTTCATTTATCATTATCGTTTACCAAAAAAAAACAGTATAAATAATGTATTGCTCTCGAAGTATATTCATACAGACAAAATTAGAAAAAGCCCAGAAAGGCACGAATCTACTGTTTGGACTTGTTCGCCATGATCTTTTGGTTTTCATGCCTGATGTTTTGTTCACAACTGCTGTAAACATTACCGAAGACCATCAGGCTGCAGTTATTCTCACAATAGCTAATTGACAATTTGAATTATTGATTATGACCCTTCAGGGCAAACAATAGTGCTTGAAGAAATATTTTTTCTTCTTTTATACATGACAAAATTAGTTCAGTATTAGAAGTAATCCAATTTAATTATTCATTATTATTATTTTCGCAATTTTAGTTGCCCCCGTGTTCTGCCAATATACCTTATGATAAAATATTACTTTATTTTCGAAAAGATCTTTCAAACCAATTTCAATGCTAATCACCAAATCATGAAATCAAACACGTTTTCTTCTCTATTTATTTAATGCACTACCCATGACAAATTGATTGGCATACATTTTCGACACTGATTATATTCGATCCAAAAAAGTAGATTTCGGTTAAATTAGATCACATTCTAAATGTGTTCCGACTTTATCACGTATACAAAAATACCAATGAATTTTCATGAGATCATCATAAATATTCAGTGAGAATGTATGCTCTAGAGGAGAGTGGATATTTTATTCAATTTTCTAAAATATCGAGTAACATATTAGCCTACATCTTATTCTATAATATAACATCAATTTTTATTTCTTTCTGAAAGTTTTTTTGAGAAATTAGGTTGTTATAATTTCAGATTTCTGTTAACGAAAACAACTTTCGTAATTGAAATCACAAATGACTTATTTTCAGAATACTTTGGAGGTTTATTGACCATCTCATGGAAAATATAGAACGAATAACTCACAATTTAAAGACAAACATAATATACAGACAATGTGATTTAGCATAAAATGAATTTATTGAAATCACTTCTCTGTCACCAGAACAAAAATATCGCCTCTCGACGCGCGTTTCGCAAACTAAGTAGCACCATCAGGAGATGTCTAAGATTTGATCTTACGGTTATGACTTCAAACGAGTCATTAGGTACACTATATAGTGATATAGTGAGAGTCATAACATCTATATCTACATGGTATTTTGGCATTATCTTATTGTTATTTACTACCTGTGAAATGTACACTGAAATGTAGAATTACTCCAGAACATATCAATCCAAAAATAACCTGAAACAATATTTTTTGGAATGTAAACTAATGACACGGAATATGCAGTAAAGTAGGTACCCGCCGAGACCTACCTTTTACAAAAAAACGTTCTGTAATTATATAATTGTAACAGTTGTATTTACACCGAGTTGACAGCAATAACAACAAAAATGGCGTCTGTCAAATTGGATCATCAGATCTGTGATTCGATATTAAAAACCAATTCGGCAACTCCGCTCTAGACACGATCAATTTTATTGGTCAACAGACACGCGGCCAATTCAAATTCTGCTTTTCGAATTATTTTTTTTCTGCAAATATAAAGAGATTTTGGGACCGATTAGGCTTGATAAGTATAATATACCCCTAACTCGATCAGTCCATAAGCAAACCAGTATCATTTTCCATACATAAAACAAGCCCATTGCCCATAACGAAAAATAAAGGGACTACATTTTTCTCCAAAGATAGCTCACGTTCCATATGAACAAAAAAAGATATCATCAAAAAAGTTATCAAGGAGATAGTTGACAGAAGGGTCTCTTTTACATAGGGAGCTACACGTCTCTCCCTCCCGACCTGAGGGAGGGAGAGACCTCGAGCTGAGGAGTCACTTCACCTCCTCAAAATGCAACATGATGAGAGGAGGCTTCCACATGAGAAATGAAAACGGCGCTCCCTCTCTTTTCTAGCTGACGCTTTACACTAGTCATCATGGCAGATTACAACGTGGAGCTATTCTGAATACTATTCTTCAACTTGTCTAGGAGCTCATCAAATGAAGCAGAAGACATTCGAAAAAGGTTGAAAAACTTTTTTTCGTCCCGTTTAGGTTCTGGGTAAAGCGTGGCAAAAACCCTTGATTCATGGCGTTTTTGGTTGATTGGATGTATCTAAAGAATTCTCAATCGTTGGCGTTTCTATCATCAAAGTTTGTGTCGATGGTAGATAAGGTATATAACAACAGCTTACGTGCGATCCTTTCTACGACTGACCTCAAGGAACCAGGAACTGAAAAGGCTTCCGGTGTAAATGGGCGGTAGGTAGGAGTGATAAACGCTCCCGTATACGAGCGAGAGTCGTTATTGGTATCCTTCGAACATAATGGATAAGTCAATCAGGAAGGGAACAATTAGAGAGTGTCTTCGTAAATCCTCGAATTTTCAGAATTTTCAAACAGTTTTCCTACATCGCTAATGCGTTAGTATCACTATCGATCAAATTATGAGGGTGGTCGGAGACGTACCCAGCTCAACCTGGCGATGGCGGTAGTTGTTTAAAAAATATCACTGTATTAGAAAGTACACAATATATAAAGCGTAGTTTAGTATTTGTTTGGCAGCCAACAATGGCGAATTTTTTCGGTTGAATTGTGAAAATGAAGAAAATTGTGGTACAATACCTGGTTGCAGTACAATATTGGGTAGCAGAGTTTGAACCAGGCCTTACGAGCTGTCAAAACAAGCATTACAGTGGTCGATCATATGAGGTGACGACTTCAGAAACGGTGAAGAAAATCCACGAACTGGTACTGAATAATCATCGACTGAAATTGCGCGAGCTAGCAGACTTAGCAGGCATTTGAAAAAGTGCGGTATACCGTATATTATCTGAAAATGTGGACATGGGAAAGCTATGTGACAGATGGGTGCCGCGTTTGGACACACTCGAGCAATAATAGTGCCGTGAAGATGTTTCAGTTGAGCGTTTGGAGAACATTCACAGCAACAAAGCAAAATTCTTGCGTTTTTTTCATAACCATGGGTGTAACATAGGTCCATCACTTCACACCCGAGACAAAAGAACAATTAGAACAGTGAACTCAAAAGGAAGAATCGGCTTCAAAGAAGGCAATGACCGTTTCATCTACAGACAAGGTAATGGCATCGGTTTTTTGGGATACGCATGGAATAATTTTCATAGACTATCTTTAAGAAGGTAAAACTATCGACTGTGAGTAGCATGCGGAATCATTGCAATGTTTGAGTGGAGAAATCAAGCAAAAACGGCCACAGTTGACTAAGAAAAAAATGTTTCATCAAGACTCACAAATCCATTATCGCAATGACCAAAATTCAAAATATCAACAAGGCGTCTGGGCCAGATGAAGTGCCAGTTGTCGTACTTGAGTGCGCGAATGAACTTGTACCAGTATTTTGCAGAATTTTCAACCTGTCTTAGAAGAAAGAGGTTTTTCCATCTTGATCGCGTTCAGCCTATTCCCAAAAAGAAAGGGCAAAATAACTATAGACCAGTCACTTTGCTATCAGTAATACCAAAAATCATGGAGAAAGTCGTAAACCAACTTTTTGTCAAATATTCGGACGGCTTTAACATCTTGAGCGATCATCAATATGACTTTAGGAAACAAAGATCACCAGGCGACCTTCTAACGTATGTCACCCTGCTCGCCGAACTTCGATGATATGGCTTGTCGAATCATTTCTGTGTATGGCTCTTCAGCTTTCTGAAAGAACGTTCCCTGCAAGTGGTCGTTGATGGATATCTCTCGAATTCTTTCACCATCAACGCTGGTGTTCCCCAGGGATCCATATTGTCTCCAACCCTCTTTTTATTGTATATCAACGACTTATTGGAAAAAACCAAGAATCCAATATATTGCTTTGCTGACGACAGCACACTTGTCTCGTCATTCCATTTGGATTCCAGGAGATCGGCTACGGAGGCACATCTTCACCGGCAGCAGGAGATTGCATATCTCAATGAGGATCTAGAAGTAATTTCGAATTGGGGAGAGTACCCAGGTTCAATTCAATACCACAGGGATGGGTTTTCTCCAAAAAGATAAATATCTCGGAACTGGATATAATAATATTAGGACAGATAATTCCGCTTTCTGCTTCGATAAGTTTGTTGGGGGTTGAAATGAACACCAATATGTCTTGGTACAATCATATCGCTAGAATTGCAAAAGCTGCTTCTCAAAAGCTTGGAACACTGTTCTGTGTACATGAACATTGTTGGTTATGATCACATGACTAAAAGACTGATATGCATTGATATTGACTAAATACTGTTAGTATATAACACTGATGTACATAAAGTGATAACTTCCATTCTTTTCTTTTCTAATCCTTTTTTCCTTTTTTTTTCTTTTCTCTCAACCACTATATTGGTTGGCATTGGTTACTGTAGTAGTTTTTGGCAAATGAATATTATTATTATTATTTTCTCACCGTAGTGTGCGCTGGTCAGGCCCTATATCCCGAAGCCTCGATACATTCCGGAGGGCGCGCCAGCATTATCAACCAATGACCACTTCTCACACCGAGGGGTAAGTGATCATTGGATTCGATAATCATATGCCCTGAGCAAGCGCGGTTAACCAAGAATGACAACCTTCTGCATCTGTGCGGCTAAGATTTCTGCCTTACCAGCGGCAAGCTGGTATGATTTTAAGATTCGAGAGTAGAGAGGACATCATTCCACCAAGGACTCAAATATTCAGAGCAACCATCTTGACAGAGTGATCTTGACAGAAAGATATTATTATTTTTTTTTCTTCACCGTAGTGTGCGCTGATCAGGCCCTATCCCCTGAAGCCCCGATACATTCGGGAGGGCGCGCCAGCATTATCAACCAATGACCACTCCCCATGCCATTTGGTAAGTGATCATTGTGTTCGTGAATCACGTGCCTTGAGCAATCGCAGTGAGCCAAGAATGACAACCTTCTGCATCTGTGCGGCTTAGAT